CTGTAGTACTGTTTTATGTAATTCAGACTGCAAAATCACTTTCTCCGGGTACCTTAGCAGGCATCAGTGTGAGATTCTCTGACAAGGGATCCAAGGAGACCTGGTGTTGACTTCTGGGTACAACAAGAACATTACTCTCTAAACAAGATAATTATCAAGAGGGTGCTTATGCCCATTCTTGTTTTTGGGGATTCTCCTCTCTCTTTGCCACCATGACTCACAAAACTTATTAAGCCAAAGTATGCCTAGCAGAACCATTTAATTACACAGCAGTTGCAGGGCAGTGACAGAATCTGTGTTTAACAGGCTGACAGCAAGATGGCTTTATCTACAAAGCTGTTTAGATGTCAGTATAGTCAGTGCCACCCATAAGGTTGGGCAAGCCATACCAGGCACCAAACCAGCAAGGAGGAAAGTAAAATTTGTGTCAGGAGTAGGCTCAAGAGACTAGTGATTTGCATAAACAGTCTGAAAACCTGCCCGTCATCACCATGTCTGGGGCAATGTGTGGAAACATTATCTGGTGAATCAACAGCCTTACACTGCACAGTGACCTAGATAGGAAATACGATGCAAAAAGGGAGAAGGTGAGACTGTGCACTGCTGTAACACAAAGATCAGGTTATTTGCTGCTGCTTTTATTCTAGCTATGAGTTTAACAGTCAATAAACCACTTGAAAACAAGTTCTAGCCTCTCCCTTCTTTCTCAGATGCTCTCACAGCAACACAGCAAGCAGCCAGACCAATTTATGAACAATGTATTTCAGTAGTTAGCAAAATGTTAACAAAATATTCTTAAAACCACACAACACATCTCAGCTATGGGTCCACGACTTCAACGTGTCTGAGAAGCTGCTCAGAGGGATTACATAAACATTGGAGTGACTACTTCCCACTGGTGTGTGTGAACAGGCTTGTTTACATTAAGAAACTCTTTCCATTGTGGCCTTTGAGATTGCAGTAGACTATTCAGTTGCAGCAGGCTAGGATATGTGAGAATGACTTTGCTCAGTGCTATAAAAAAACAAAGGGAAGTTTTTGGGAGCTAATGCATGACACTTAGATAATCCCCTCCCATTTGTACATTTTGTCCCGATTACTTGGAAGCCAAGCACGACCAAGTGATTTGTCATCAGTTTTGGTTTTGTGAGGTTTTTCTCCTTGTAATTTACCTTACAATTAGCACTTTGTATCATATATTCTAGCCCATCTAAGGGCTGGTCTTAAAATTCCACCATAAAACCTCAGCACACTGAAAGAAGTAAGCACTGTTCTGGTACAGAAAACACTCCTCCCTCACCATTAGAGAGATGAAGGAATTGTAAGCTTTTTTAAACAAATTGTAGCTGGATGATACTTTCAGGAAGGCAGAGGAATGATAGCCTTGTCGGGCAGTGGCTCAGTTTTCCTATATTATTATTATTTCCATATTGTTTTTATATCAACAAAATAAAGGTTTCTCTTAACTCTGAAACTCTGCTGGTAGGAAGAAAAACATTTAAAGATTGCATCTCAAAGGTCTTCAAGATCAAAAAATAACTTATCTATAGACCAGTGTTCAATATGCAATCTGTAAGCAGGAAAATAGTTTGCTTTCATTTTTTCATTCTTCTGGAGGCAGAATATTGCCTCCAAAATTAGCCTTGTTCACTCCAAATTACTGACCTTAGCCAAAATCAAGCCTCTTTTTTTATATTTTCAGATTTTTCCCCCCAAAAGTAACCAAACAAGTAATGGAGTATGCCTCTTTCAAATGTATAGTATACAAGACTTTGATATTGCCATGAGGCTGAGCTATCAGAAGTCAGAGTGAAATTTTCCTTTCTCAATCCCATTTTTTAAAGTTATTTCTTTTGAAAATAATACATCAAACTTTACCCAAACCCAATTTCTCCCCCATATTTAAACTGTAGCTAAATCTTGGAAAATACAGTGTAGCTAAGTTTTGGAAGACAGTGTTTTTTAATCTGCCATCACAATCAAAGGACCTACATTAATGAAAAGGGAGAGTGTTAGGTCAGGCACTTCTGGTTTCTGTAACAGTCACCTGGTTTCCTTCTATATTTACATATTTTTCAGAAACAGAATTCCAAGTGTTTTGCCCTTGGGACTTAGTCCAGAGTTATGTTTGTGATTACTCTGTCATATATTATCACATTCATGACTGTCCATCAAAAAATTGAATAATTTCTACGTAGTAAACTACAGAATTTCTTACAGCATGTATTGCTGTCTTCACTGGTTCCAGTGAAACCATTTCTCCATTTGTTGTGGGGAGGGAAAGATCCCCTCCTTCAGGAGTGTTTCTTGGCTGATTGAGGCAGGTATCTTTTTTTGTCATTTGTAGCTGATGGTCACTGTGGCTTCATTTTCCACACTGCTGGCAGTTGTTTCTGTATAGCATCTAAGGGAATTTCTTCTTCCACACTCATTTTTGGGAATAGCCTTGTATCTTAATTATTCTCCTCTCAACCTGTCCTCACACCTCATCTCACAATGAAGGAGATCCTGTTCCCCTTTCTGGTTCCACCACAATGCTCCACAACTGTTTCCTCTGCCTCCATCGGAGCTCAGCACTCCCCCACATGACATTGCAAAACCTCCTCAGGGATGAAGACCTCCTCTATTTATAGAGCACTGAGGCTAGATGAAAGTTTCCAGAGAGTTTTCTGGAAGAGCTCACATCTAGCTGCTCTGAAGGCATTCAAAGGGAAATGAGTTTCCATCTTGCTTTAGAACTTTGCCCAGCATCTAACAATCACTAAACCTTTGCAGTACAGTATGTAGTGCACCAGGCATGTGTTTGATGTTATACATTGACATTTATGAACCTCTGAAAACTTTTCTTCCTGACAAGCTTGGGGCAGATTCTCTACCATGAACTCATATTCTCAATTGATTTTTGTCCTAGGTCTGTGATTCAGAGCTATCTTATGATAACAGAGAAGAAAAACTGTTTTTAGCTTTGTGCTGTGATTTTTCCTTAAAAGATTGAGGTTGATATTTTTAAATCAAAAATAAGGTTCCATTAACAAATGCACTGTTGCATGTTGCTCCACAAAGATATGATTCAGCATTTTTTTTACTTATGCCACAAGTCAAATACAGAATATGCTTTAAAATAGTGGCTAAATAAATGGCTATAGCTGCAACTAAAATAAGGCAGGAGTCAGGCTGGCTTCACAGGCGGCATATCCACAAACACAGTCTGTGTGCTTATATGAGATGACCATGTTCAGCCTCTGAAACTGATAAGCTGCTGTTTATTAAAAAAAAAAAAAAAAAAAAAAAAAAGAAAAAGGCAGCAAGCCTTTGACTACTTCTGCCCACAGCACATGGCTTTTATTGGAGGATGTGTTTGCACAAAGGGAGGAGTGTTGCCTCCTACACAAATTTCAACAGCCATTTGAACAATTTGGTAAATAGATGAGGATAGAATCTACATCTATTGTCTGCCTTTCCCCTCCAGTCAGAAGTCAATCACACAGTGAGGAATCTCTAATCTAAAGGAGAAATCTTCTTTAGGAATCTGCTTTTTAATGAAAACATGGAACATGGTCCCAGCATTACCGACAATCTGAGGGTACACACATACTCCCTGATATAAACAAATGAACAAACACCAATATACACCTGAAACAACAACAAAAAAGATAATAGTTCCAGGGAGAATATATAAGCCTAATGCAACAGGAAAGGAATAAAAAGTGAAATCCACCTCCTGACAAGACAAATCTTATCATCTTCCCTTGCACTGTAAGTGAATGAAGAAGGAACAAGTTGCTTCTTGACCTGTTTTTTGCTTCTGCATAAAAATGAAAGGCCATTTCTTTTAGTACCAATAAAATGCCACCTTTTCTCTAAGTCACTAACTAGCTGACTGGATGAGCAAGGAACAGGTTCAGGTGACTCAAACAGTGGCAAGCTGATGCAGAATGATAGCAAGACTCATTCACAACCCAGCACTAATTACAGCTTGTAGCACACACTATCACTCTGAACACAAAACAAGGATGTTAATAATACAAATCCAGCTGTGCACTTGCACAAAATCCTTGTAAGCTTAATTTTCTGAGACTTAATCTTTCACTACTGCTTTTTAACAGCTCTCCAATGTACAATTCCAACATTATGTTTCAGTGGATTCATGAACAGCATTGCGCTATCTGAATGCCCATTGAAAGAGATGAAATTAATAGTATCAGTTTAGATCATGCAGGGAGAAGACAACAGTTTTGGTAATATGGGAATTTAAATTATTGTATATCCACTACTAGCATTCCTGGTTTAGTAAGTAACTGTCCTTGGTATAAGTTGCTTGGGATGTGCTTTAAAACATTAAATATCTTATACTAATACCTAATACTCTGGTATTAGTCAAAGAGTATTTGCACAGAGGGTTGTGCTTGTTAGCATAGGCAGAATAAGACAGGGAACACCACCATAATGAGCGTGCATCAATATCTCATATGTTTAGAACTAAACATGTGAGTTCAGTTCTAAAATATCAATAACTATTATCATCAACAGCCAGAACCTTTCAACTACTAAAACCTGAAAAGAAAAACAAAGAAACAAACAAAAACTTACAAGATTGGAGTCCCTGGCATGTTGTTTGCATCACCAATAGCCTGAAACATCTCTCCTTGCATCCTTAGATGGCAGTATCAAGTGATGCTAGCCATTATCCTTTCTTGGTACAAAATACACTGCACTTTGGATCTGCTGATTCCCTCAATAGTTTCAAAATGAAAAGCTTCTCTTCAATCAGAGAAGAGAGAAAGTAGAAATGGGTCAAGTTACACAATGCAAAGTAAATAAGAGTGAAATTACATTATATGACCGAGTCAGTTTACTATTCTGACTTGGGTGGTCCTGCTTTTCCCTCCCAGATCCTTGCCCTGCTGGTCCCACACCCTCTCTTACACCACATCAAACCGCTTGGTAAGCTGATCCAACTTGTTAATACAACAGAAAACTACTCTCTTGAACTGACTCACCAAAGGGCTTGACAAGAATGAAGCCAAGGAGAAAGGCTCTGGAGGGAGCAGAACCACCCCTTCTGGTGGCAGCAACACCACACTGTGTCTTAAATGAATCACAACTGAAGAAAGTGTTGAAGAAGGGCACAAGAGGAGCACTGAAAGCAAATAAGAAAGGCATAGAGTAAGGGCACTGTGTCTTTGGGAAGAATGGAAATGCAAGAATAGACATCACAAAGCCCTTGGGATGTGATAGACACTGAAGGGTGCAATGGCAGGAGAGCAATAGGACATTGAATCATGTTATGCATCAGAGGGGGGCATGGGAACACAGGCACTGTCCTGGCAGAAGGAAGAATGGCTAGTGACAGAAAACACAGTACTGAGTCCACCTGGATTGCAGAGGCTCTTTGGAGTTCAAGCTTAGAGTGCTTTTGTCTTTGTGCATCTGTAGCCAGGCCTGGCAAAGATGCACAAAGATGTGCTACTTCAATAGTTTTAACATGAGCTATAATATTGTGTCCCCATTGTTCAAGAAAAGAGGGAGGACACCACTGTTCACTCAAAAAACAAACAAAATGAAACCTATCCTCATTCTTCTCATGAAACTGCCTCATCAAAAAAAAGAACAAAAATCAAACCACTAAGTGTTATTTAGGAATACCACCTAGTCCGTCTTATCAGCTCAAAACCTCTCTCATTATTATCTTTTCCTTCCTCTCTTAAATTACTGAGACACGTCTCTCATAGCAGCAAATATCTTAAGTTCACCATTTTCTTGGAATCTCCCCTACTTGTACAACTGCCTCCATAAGAAAAAGAGTTTAGCGGTATCAGAAATTGTGCTAGTGATCTGGAGAAAGGGAAAAGATATGCATCAACTGCATATCCAAAGATAAAATGTCCAGGGTTTTAACAAATTTGTCTTCATAGTTTTAAGGAACACTTCTTGAGTTCCTCTCTTGAGCTCTGGGTAACTGCTCATAGGTAAACAGAGAAAAAGGAAAAAAAAAAAGGTGGAGATTTTGTAACTCATTAAATAGCACGGTATATTGCAAGGCATGAGCTGAGGTATTCTCAAGCTTCCCAAACCAAGGGGCAGAGGGCAAACTGTCCCTGCCTACACCCCAGGGCATCCCTGTTCTCTTTTCCAAGTACAACACCAGGCACTGGCAAAAGTACGAACTACGTGTCTGGCAGCTGAAAGACAAGGAAAGAGAAAATATGATGTGCAATAAATCAGGTACACACAAAATAATCATGGCAGGTCACATCATCCTAACACTGCTCGGCATTGTTTCCACCTTAATGATCTTTCAGCATGTCACCATGCTGAATCATGATGACAGAGAGGCAGGAAGCACATATCAGATGCAGAATGAACAGGTCTTTTTGTGATTGTGGTGCTATGAAGCACTGGGCTTTATGCTGGAGTCCTCTGTTCTCACTCTGGAACACCTGTGTGCAGAAAAATCAAGAATGATTTCTGGAGCAGTTCAGATAAATTTGACCTATATACAGATAAAACAGGAATATCTCTCTTTTTTTTTTTTTTTGCCCCCAAAACTGCTTATTACTGTATCAGTGAGTGAATTTCAAATGGGTTTAAAAAATGTTCTTTAAAAGTAATTTTCTGTTTATAACTGGACTTCAAGCACCCCAAGGGCCTGCTGGTTTGCTTAAGTTAGAGGCCAAAAAAATGTACATAATTGTCAATCTTTAGTAAGACAGGGAGTTCTTTTCTAACCAGAGCCAGAAATACTCCCTCTGGAGAAATATCACAAACAATGTGAAAAAAAAAGCTTTTGAACTTTCCATGGTACAAAGTTTAAAATGAGGACAAAACTGGAATGGGTTGTTCTTGAGTATTTTCTAAGATATGCTAAATTTCCATAGCTTTACAGATACAGACATCTGGAAGCAAAATTTTCAGTTAAAAAGAAAAAAATCCCATTGTTTTGTATTTCACTAGCATAGTTAATTTTCCTTAAACATGAACAAAATTATTACAGTAGACAAAAAATTTAATATGTATAAATCTCTCTGGATCAACCCTAACCATATTTTTGGTGTAATAAAAATGGGCTATATTCCCAGATATTAAACTGTATATAATTTCAGACAGATCCAGGGACAGCAAAATCAATTTTAGTTAAACAGCCTGGAGGAATCGCATAATATTAAAGACAGTATTAAACACAAGTTTACATAAAGTAATTGAGAATACTCCTTATAATTTAGTCCAACACTTATAAACACATACAATGAAAGCTTTTTTACTTTTAAACATTAGATCATTACAATATTCAGTGATAAACAACCAACTTGTTCTGTTACTTTAATTTCAGCAAAAAGTTTCAAGGAAACTCTACAATGGCATCAACAAGCACTAAGCAGAATGAAAGATGGTGCAGGGTACTGCAGATTATTTTCAGAGCTTTAAGCCAGATTCTCTGTTGTCCCAAGTGCCCTATGCCACTTCATACTGTGGAAAACACCAAGTTCCTGGCATATCAAAGCCTGGATCTGGAAAAGTTCTGAGACCCCCTCAGTTATGCTGCCCAAATGATTTGAGGGGACCCTGTGTTTGGTCATGTGCTTCTCTGTAATGGCTGGCACTAGTCCCACCAGGCAATAACCCCACACCTTTCAGATCACGTCTACTGGGTGATCCTTTCCTTGCTTTGCAGAAACAGGGGCCAGGGGAGGTATCTGGGAGATGAATAAAACATGCTAACCCTTTGAGTACCTCAGGAAAAGAGCGTGCATTCAACAAAGGAGCACTTGCATAGCCTTGTGGATGTACTCTGTACACTTTGTCCTGATTAGAAAGGAAGTGAGTTTAACAGAGAATCCAACTCAGACAAACAGCTCTCTCCTTTAATTTGGAAAATCTGCAAACCTGTTACAGTTCACTTGCTAGTATGAAAAGCAAGCTTGAAAAATGGCACTGTTGAGACCAGTGAATAATGGTTTAAGTGGAATACCAGCAGTCGGGCTGAAGAACATGGTGGAGTGGTCTGGGTGGAGGACAGCAAATGCTACAAGCCCCCAAGTTCTGACTTTTAATAATGATGCCGTTGTGGACATGCATCTGTCTCACTGATGCCTGATGCTACCACTGACCTCAGAAGCACATGTAGCTTCCAAAAGGCTTTCTGGCACCAATGAAAAACTTAGCCTGGAGTCCAAGCACTTTTTTTCCTATTCACAGCAAAACTATCTCAATATGAGATTACTTTTCATTTAAACTCTATTTCTAAACTGACTTTGTAACCTTCTATAATCTTGTTACTCTGCATTCCCCTTCTCCCCAGGCTTCAAAGATTCTTTTTTGGTTGCTTATATAATCTCAGTGCTGCAGTACACAAGCTATCTAAAGCATGGTATAAATGCAGCTATTATTACTACTTAATAAAACCAGAAAAGTTATTCATTGACCAACCTTTTCCCCCTTTCTAATAAACATATCAGATCTAAGTGGTGATAAAAAACTATGACCTTGCACTAAGTTTATCCCATAACATCCTCATCATGACTGGTATTTAATTTTAAAGACTTTTCACTGCCTCTGCAAAGCAGTATGTCTCATCATTACTTAGTCAGCAGTAAAGCTCTTTTCCAACATTCACTGACACAGACAAGAAATTAGGAAGTCCCTTCCTCCTCTGTTCTGGCAACCATCATATTGATCATGTTACTTAGTATACCATATGTTGCTTTTTGTTGTGCTTTGTCCTTACACTTCTAAGGCACAAGCTCTCTGGCAATGAATAGAGTCTTCTATGCTAGGAAAATATTTCTAGCATGTTGCAGACACTATTGTAATATAAATACTCATTGTCTTCCTGAGTTTCCTTACCACCACTGCTCCTCAACACAGCTTTGTCACTGTAAAACAACCTTCATTAAGTTTTGTGTCACTGGTGTAGTGCTGCAATAATAAGGCAAATACTTCATACTCCCAAAAAATGGATTTTGTTGAACTTGGTATTTCTGTTGACCATGTTGTGAGACAGTATGATGTCAAGACAACCTGAAGTAGCTTTGCACATTAGCAAATGTGAAAACTAAGACCTTTAACTGTATCCCAAAAAACATGTGGAAAAGAGAGGGAAAGAACATAAGACTTCTGAAGCCAAATTAGCCTGTAAATTAATAACTATCATTAGATTTTAGCCAGGCACCATATTTGTGCCTTGGTCTTTTTCCGAGTTGTTTCATGGTTGGATGATTGAGTTTCAAGTCTGTGACTTTCATCTCTCTTGTGTTTGCTGAAGGAGTACACAACAAATGCAAAAGATCTTTAACTCTTCAGTTTCTATCTGGCAGAATACCACTGTTTGCATTTCTCAAATTTTTGAAAACAACAGCCTTAACTCTCTTCTCATTTAGCCCAGTTTAACAATGCTGCAAGTCCAAGGAAATCAGCTGAATTAATCTCATCTTAAAGCATGCTAGAGGAATGCCTAAACCAAGTATTTTTGACATACCTCATATACCTATAGTTGAAGGAAAAACTCTCATTAAACATACGTTAAAAATCTGTCCACTTCATGCACTAGATTTAAAACTTGCCTTTAATCCACTTCTTTCAGCCCTTACTACAAAGAATTTACTAATCTGGAATTTTGTTTTTAGTTGCCATCGTTTCCAGTTCATTTGCCATCTTTTCCTTTGGTTGTGTGATTCTTTTTAATTCTCCCTTGGAGCTCACTAGTCATATTCACCTTGAAATTTTATCCACTGGGCTTTCATGACCTTGTCCTCCTTTAGCCTTTCTAATAATTCACCCCGGTTTTCCTTCTCATTTTTCATGTATGCACCACAAGGCACTTGCAGCCTTGGTACACTTTGTTTCTCCTGCATTCTTCATATAGTACACTTAGTGCCAAACATTCCTCCAAGACTTCTTGCTATGCCAATCAATCCTACATGCAGTTCTATAGGAGAGATAAGCACTAAACCATTTTAATTGCATACATAAAGTCATGTCACTATAATACAAGTGTATTGCAGTGTTAAACCTCACAAAAGCCTGTGAGAATCAAAAGCATTAGTATTCCTCTTTTACAGTGGCAGAGAAAAAATCACTTATCCAATGTCACATGAAGTCCTGTGGCAGCCTCTGCGTTCATTTCACCTTTCTACCTCAAGATCTGTAATATTGGGTCATGTATTTTACCCTTCTTGGGCTTTAGAAAGGATTTTCTTAACTTACAGTGCAGACCAATAGTATGCATCGTGTCTCACCAGCCCAGCCCACGGAGCAGCTATTTGCTGTCAGTTCACCAAATGCTTCTCTGAGGAGATGGGCAGGAGAACATCCAGTCCAGGAGGAATCATTGCTCTGCCTCACCACCTGGCTCTGAAGCACCGACCACCGTGTTGGGCTGTACTGAAGGAAACTCCACTTTCCTAAACCATACCACAAGCAAGTAAAGCCACGATTAATTGGATCAAGTGGAAGCTTAAACGTCACCTCAGCGGAGTCCAGATGCCCATGTGGCTTCTGACAACTGACGTGACTGAGCCGAGACCTTTGTCCCTCCACCAGCGCTGCTCTGCCAAATGAGTTTCCTTTTGCCTGTCAGGGACTTTGCCATGTTCATCACAGCACAGGCCCCAACTCCTGGTCTAACCTTGTTTTGGCAGCTACATCACCTAGCTCGTTCTTCCTGCTTTTTGCCTTTTCATTTCTTAATTAGCCTGGCTCCAGCCTTCACTACTACTCCGTTAGGCGGGACACAAGCCACGTGTTAATTTATGAAGGAGACAGCACGTCTCTCCCGCTCTACCAGCTACCCGGCAGGAATATTTTGGGGCCTACGGGAGTGACAAAACCCACTCTAGCCAGGTGCCGCCGCCGCCACCCTGCCTGTCACTCGAGCCGCCGTGCCCAGCTTCCACGTCACCCGCCGCTCCTCGGTGCCCGCGCCTCACCTGCGGCAGGCCCACACCCCACAGGGGCAGCTCGCTACTGGGGTCGCGGGCCACCCTCAGATTAGCGACCTGCCCGGCGACGACGGGGCGGCCCCGGCAGCCCAGAGCAGTGACACCGCCCAGCGGTTTCCCCGCTGTCCCCGCCGGGAAGGCCGCACTCGCCACAGCGGGGGGAAGGGCGCCATCCCCACAAGAGCCCTGCGGCCCCGCGGCCTGTCCGTGGGCCCACGACTGCAGCGGTGCTCTCAGCCCCTCA